ATGGGATGTCTATCCTTATTGAAGTTAATTCTGCATATTGTAAGTTTTTTGTTCTTTACACCGAGTTGTTCTGATTTCTCTTTACTTTTTGTACTAACAGGTCGACACTTTTACTGTTTGCAGCCCGTAGAACAAAAGAGCCAAAACTTGGTGTTGAATTGAAAGGTCGGATATCAGAGTTGTTTAAGTTGACCAAAGATCAGCGTGGCTTCAAGCTTGTTCTGAAGAACTCAATGTTAGAAAGTGCTGGTCTTTGTCCTCGCGTCTTTGATCCTTATTTTGCTCCAGGTATGTTTGAATAAAAAATTTTTATTCTTTTCTATGAAGTCGGGTAACCATAAAAGTTATCATAACCCGAACTATGTTGTCTATACGCAGTATATTACCCACTTCTCGGAGTCTTTGGATTCAAGACTGTGAGGGACGCTAAGGTTTTTCGCCAAAAGTGTCCAAATCTTGATCTTCGAACCAAAGTTAGAAAAAGTAAAGAACAACGTTTATCCGAGATGGGTCGCAAGAGATTAACGAAGTCGTTTTTGAAGAATCCAATTATGAGGGCCCATTCTGATGTCGGGAGCTGCTATCGAGGTCGTGCAGCCGAATCCTTTAGCTGTAGCAGTTACGGGTCCTATTGCTGCTATAGCTGCTGCAGCAATTAATTAGGCTGATCTAGAGCCTGAAAAGTCTGTTGAAATTATCGATCCCGAGATTCAGATTGTTGCTTCGGAGCCCAGAGAAATTGAAAAAGAGGCTGAGCTCGAGAAAGAGACAGGTGAAACACTAGAAATCCAACTAAGGAGGATTTTAAGAAAGAGGTCGACTGAGGATCCTCCCGAGACCAGATCGAAGAAGCATGATGTCAGCCGTCCTGAGAAGAACAAGAAGAAGGAACCTCTTGTTGATAGGTCCTTCTTGAAGATTGATGAAGAACGAGCTGAGAATTTCAGACAGCCCAGAGAGTCGGTTGAAAAATGGTTCTCGGCCTTTGAGTCGGTCGAAATTCCAAATATTCCATGCGAGACCGAGTTGTCGAGCCATGTAATTGATGCCGCTCGGGTTCCAATGATGGCATGGGATCCGAGAACTGAAATTGGCGTTTCTTCAATGTCGAGTGTTTACAAGTTTAAGTATGCTAAAGCATGTCTCGGCCGTGCACTTGTTAGCATAATTACGGCTGAGGATGACTTTAGATTGAATGCCGCCCAGGTTGACGAAAAGAAGCATACTTTGGCGCTCCGAGATGAAACAATTATTTCGTTGAAGGAGGAAGCGGCCACTACTGAAGCAGCTTTGAAGGTAAAGATTATTGAGAAAGATGAGCAGCTCAAAATTGCTTAAGGGGAGATTGAGGTTTTAAGGACCGAGAAAGAAGGCCTTGACTCTGAGGAGCTTAGATTGTCGAGTCAAGTGATCACATCTGAACAACGCGTCAGAACACTCGAAGATCAACTTTCTCGGTGCGAAGAATTGCTTTGTAAAGACAGGAAGCTCATGAGCATACTCAGAGAAGTCGCTCCGAGTTTGAAGAATTGTTGTTGAAAAGCCGAGCCGAGAAGCTCACCGTGCTGACCTCACGAGGCTTCAACAAGAAAAAATTGAATTTGGTGAAGAGAAGTATAATGATGGGCTTCGACCTGAGAAGATACTCGGAGCTGATGTTGGTATAGAGACAACGACTGTTGAATGTGATTCTGATGATGAAGACCGAGAGCTCGAAATGAATACATGTTTGAGTCTCCGCTGGGTAAACGAACGGTTTGATGAAGGCCTCTACGACATTGATGATCTGAGGATTTTCCTTCTCCGCAAACTTGAAAAGCATAATTTCAGATCGGAGATCAAGACCATGCATATTGGCGCCGATGAGGATGAAAAGGAATTTTACGAGTGGCTTCTCACTAGTGTGGGTGCTCAAATGGAGAACCCTGATCTTCTTCCGTTGAGTAAAGAGAGAGAATCTCGTCTTCGTCGGTCCTTTGTCAATATGCTGTTAGAGGTTGAGAAAGATAAAAGAGTCGAGCTCGCCGGTGTTTATGTGAAAATGCTCGCCGAAGTCATCATGTAGGAAGAAATTGCAAATATAACTCCCGAGCAGATTCGAAGGGCGGTGTTAGCTTTTGCCGAGGGTAAAGTCCGAGAGTTGACTCAAGGAGTAAATCAACTGAAGATTATACAATTTATCGAGGTACAAGGAGTCACTGAAGATGATACAATTTATGAGCGCATCCCTGTTACTGACGCGGAAATTGAGAATGCTGCCAGGGCCAAGGAAGATAGAGTCCTGGAAACAATAGGCAAGAGAATGCTCGAAGAGCTTGAGAAGAGGGATGCTGAGGCCTTAACAAAAGCTGCTGAAAAAGGAAGTGACGGCGCTGGAACTTCCAAGAAAGGAGACGATGATGCAGCGTCGTCAACTTGATTTTTGCTTTTCTTTTCTCTCTCTTTTATGTTTTTGCATGTTTTTCAGTGTGCTGGCATGTCGGTACACAGTGATTTAATTTGAAAATTTTATTTTAAAGTAGTTGTGATGAATTAAAAAAGTTTATTATGAATGAACAATTTCTTTTTCAGCTCTATTCATTCATAACTTTTTTATTGCAATTGTGTTGAGCTCGGGATAAGTACCACTTTTTTTTGGAAATTATTTCTGCTTTAACTCGAGACACGACATATTTGAAGTATCCATCATAATTTTAATAAATATGATAATGTTGGATTTTGTATGTTTTGAAAAATTAATAATAATTTTTATCGTTCTGACAGAGTTAAAGTGTGATTGTGAAATAATTTTAACGAACTTTCCCTTCCGAGCTTTGATTGATAATTTATGAGACGTCGGTATTCTTCGTTCCCCACTAGTGTATTCAGCATTTTGCTTTCTTCGCTGAATTTTTAAAGTTTTCGAACCTCGGCAAGGTTTGATTTTATGGAACGGGCCCCACCAACTTGTTTTATCGAAGGTTGGTGCAAAGATGGATATTGACCTTACCAAATCATCTTCAGGATTTGGTGTTAATGAAGGTTTAATCCATCTATTTAAAGAACTTGATAATCAAAGTGAACCCTTGACCTTCCCAAGCTGAATTACTTGGTTTTATGAAGGTAATTTTTTTAGTTGAAAAGGAGTTAGTCTTGCCGAGCTGAAAAGCTCGGTGATGGTCAAGACTTTCCCTTACTGAATTGATGAATTCAGTTTTATTTATAATGATAATTTAAAGCGAGGATATCGGTCCTTCCAAGATGAAAAACTAGGTATAATAAAGGCTTCTATCCTACAGAATTGGAAAACTCGGTAAAAATTTTTAAGGACTCAATGGCACACAATTTTCTTCTTTTCGTCAAAAAAGTGTACAAAGCTATATTTACATTACTAAAAATATTTTTTGAGATAGATTGCATTCCATGGGTATTGAGATGGGTCCCATCTGGGCATTCAAGTCGATAGGTACCTTTTGGAAGTACTTGATTTATTTTGAACAGCCATTCCCACTTCGGTTTTAAAGGTCTCGGTTCCACTCCAGTAACTCTTTTGAGAACTAATTCGCCAACTCGGAACGTACGAGGTTTCATTTTGGCATTAACATATCTCCCACTTCTTTGTTTGTAGGCTGTGTTTTCTGAGCTCGGCCATTGAACGTAATTCATCTGTGAGATCAAGGTTTGCTTTCAAATTTTCCGAGTTAAATTCATCATTGAAAGAAAATGAATATATACTTTAAATATTTGTTTACAAAAATGATACGTATATTGTAGTAGGACAATATCAATGTTGTAACTTAGTACCTAGGGATGAAAACGATCGGGAACGATCGGCATAGGGCTCAACCATTTCCACTTTCATATTTTTTTCTCGAAAACGAAAATGATACGATAATGTCGGAAACGAAAACGACATCGGTATTCCGGTAATATCGAAAACGAAACTATCCGATCGAAAATACATCGATAACGATCGAAATATATTAAAACGGTATTTAAAAAACGATAAACACACCACATTATAAAATATAGCATTAAAACATAAATTGAAATATTCTCACGGCATAATAGTGGCAAAATCCAAATTAAAATCCACGAGAGTGAAGATCGAAAGGGGTGAAGGGGATTTCAGGATTTGGGCACAGGGTTGGGCTGAAGGGGATTTGGGCATTTGGCCTATTTGAGATTTGGATTGGGCTTTATAATTAAAAGTGAGCCTAGTATGAGTTGGGCCGGTATTACCGACGGTAAAATACCGTTTAAATACGGTAATTTTCGAAAACGATCGGAAAAGGGCTAAACCGTTTTCGTTTTCATTTTCGAATTTTTTTACCGTTTTCATTTCCGTTTTTCCGGTTACCGTTACCGTTTCCGTTTAGCCTCCAAATTCGAAAAAATTTCGAAAATAATTCTCGGTAATCGGAAATTACCGTTTCCGTTTTCATCCCTATTAGTACCTACATATAGTATGGAAGGAAAGAGAAATAAAAATTATATAAAAAAAATAGTAGTAAGAGGAAGAAATAGTAGAAGATGCGAAAAAAAAATAATAAAAATATATGGAAAGAGTGAGAAAAATTAATAAAAATTTAACAAAGTTAATTGTGGAAAGAGAGAGAAATAGTAAAATAATATGAAAAGTTGGTTGGTAGTTGAGTGATGTCATTTTTTAATTTATTTTTGATTTATTTTAGTAGTAAGAATTTTGGTGGAATATGTGATTGGGGTAAGGAGTGAAGTCTACAAAAAAAGAAAATTAGGGATTAATTGTGAAAATGAAAAGAGGTTTAGAGATTTTTGTGGAACTTGCCTACTTTTTTTAAAAAAAAAAAAAACTAATTAAGTGTAAAATAACAGGATTGTTATACGAGTATGATATAATTATTTGTGTTATTGTATCACAAGTATCTGTATTTAGATATTACTAAATAGTATTGCTAAAGAGTTGGCATTTAAAGATGTTCATTAGTAATAATTGTTTTTAACACAATTATTATAAACTACTTGAACTAGGTGGAAAGAAACGTATNTATTTAATTCATTCATTCATATGCATATTGATTAATTCATCAATGAATTAATTATTTGAGAATCTGATCGGTGGCTGATTGAATCCCCCAAAACAGGGCGTTGAAGAAGAAGAAGCGCAAGCGGAGGAGAGGCGGAGCAAGTGGCCGACGTGGCTGCAACCTCTGCTGCGCACAAGCTTCTTCGGTCAATGCAAAGTCCACGCGGCGGCGCACAAGAGCGAGTGCAATATGTTCTGCTTGGACTGCGTCAATGGACCCCTCTGCTCTCTCTGCCTCACTTCCTCTCACAAGCTCCATCGCTCCATACAGGTCACTTCACCAATAATTTAATTTAATTTAATTTAATTTAATTAATCAGCGAAATTGAGAAGCAATTGATGAATTTTATAGATACGGCGATCTTCGTATCATGATGTGATAAGGGTGGGCGAGATACAAAAGCACATGGACATAACAGGTGTGCAGACTTACATAATCAACAGTGCAAGGATTGTGTTTCTAAACCAAAGGCCACACCCACAGAAGCAGTCCAAAGGAGCTGCGGCTAACGCTTGCCGAGTCTGCCACCGAAACCTCCTCGACTCCTTCCTTTTCTGCTCCCTTGGCTGCAAGGTCACCTCACAATTTCATTATTCTATTTGTTTTTTTTTTTTCAACTTAAATGCAGTTGATTATTATAGTTATTGTTTTCCTACCAAGCTAAACATAGGAGATATTGGGTTTCATGATCATGGGTGGAACTTTTGCAATAGTAGAGAACATTTTATTACACCATTTGAATTGGACTTTGATTACAACAAATGTGGTGTATACTATAATTTGCTAAGTTATGATTAAAATCAAGTGTCTCATAGTTCAGTCCACATTCAAGTCACCCTTTGGATAAGTGCTTATTTCCATCATAGAGTGAAATGTCCAAATTCAGTTTCATTGGGCGTTAACTTACCCATTTCATTGATTATGTTTACTTTCAGCATCTCTCCTCTCGGTTTGTTTTTTTTTTTTTTTTTTTTTTNAATTTAAGGAAGAATTGATGAAGGAAATTGCTGACAAATGCTACTAATTTACCTTATGACCATTTATGATAAAATTCTTATGCTTTATAATGAATTATTATGAATTTTTTTCCTAATTAATAGATAGCTGGAATGTCATCAAAGAACTTTGACAAGGAGAAAACAAGAGAAATAGATATGAATGCAATGCAATACAAGATCCTTAGCAGCTTCACTCCATCTACACCACCTCGAACTTCAATGATGAGTAGCTATAGAACCACAAAAAGGAGAAAGGGAATTCCCCACCGAGCTCCAACGGGAGGACTTCCCATCGAATGTTGAAAGGCATTATCATGCACTTGCTTGTGCTTTTACCACTAATTAATTATATACTCGTTTGCTCTCTTTTTTTTGTTTTTCGGTTTAAGTTGTTGTGGAAGTTCCAGCATACCGAGCTGTGGCAATGGAGGAGGCCGATGCTGGAATTCTGAAGTCTGGTTTTGTGCAGTATATTGTCGTATATAGAATAAAATGGCATAGAATGATGTAATAATGGGTTGTAGGAATTATAATCTGAAGGTTTGAAAACGAATAATATTGGATATAAAAAAATTTGGTTTTGTTTAGATTTTTTTGTTCGGTTTGGTTAATTTTGAAAAAGTTGGTATGGTTAGTTGTTATTGGGTATATTATAATAATATTTAAAATAAAATGATTAAAGTTGATTTGATGTAGAGAAGATTTGAAGTGATGGTTAGTTAAAATTATGTGAGTGGATGAATAGTGAATTAAAATAAGGTGGTGTGTAAGAATGATTGATTGATATTATTTAATTATATTGATAATATTGATGATAGTGAAGTTGAGTTAAAATGTTTGAATTTTTTTTTAGAAATTTTGTATCCAAGCATGCCCTAAGCGTCTGAAGGGGAGAGGTTAGGCCGCATGTATGTATAAAGTTTAATAATGTGAAATCGTGTAAATTGGCCTTTTTCATAGTGGTTGGGTTTCTTTTCTTTTTCTTTCTTTATTAATAATATATTTCTTTGTCTTCTAGTCGCTTGAATAAATAAATAAATTACCTCCAGTAGCTCAAAACTGCTCAATTGAATCATGATTGAAACTGAGAATCATGATTTGATTTGATGATTATGAACCCAAGTGCAATTTGATGATTAGAGGCCAGTTTTGATGGTGAAGGAATATATTTTTGGAAATGCAAGTGCATTTTCCTATTTAGGCTCAAATCGCATATTTTATATATGCATGTGCTTATAAATATCTATTATTAATAAGAACTATGTATCTAATATTGTCTTTTGTGAACCAAAATAATAATAATCAACGATGAAAAGCAAAGAGCAGAACAGTTGGTCCAACAATAAATGTGAATGGTGGTGGGTCATGCTCCAAAAATGTTCTCAAAGCTACAACTTTTGACAAGGACAAAGGGCCAAAATTCAAATTTGAGACGCCATTATAGAACCATATCAAGAGGATCAAGAATTAGTATTTTACTATAAGATATCTTTTGCTTTGGTGATTGTACTTCCACTTATTCTAATCTTTTACTATTAGGAGTTGCATAACTCTGCACTCGCAGCATTTCTATTAATTTTACATCTTAAGTAATGGTGGAGTTACGCAACATGATTTGGTTTTCTTTTCTCCCTTATATTTTCCCATCTTTCCATTAGTAACGTTCTTCATATCACGCTGTCAAAAAAAAAATAAAAAAACAAACAAACATTCTTCATATCACTGGAAATTACGAGTCAATCTTCTTAAACTTGCTTCGACAAATAAGTTCTTATATAACACTAATGGTTAAATAGAAGCGCACTTAAATAATAATGAAGCACAATGAAAAAAATAAGAATAATTATGTACCATTGGATCCATCACCTCAATGGTTATGATCAAGTCAAAATTTAATAAATAATGATCAATCATTAATGACAATATGGTAAATAAGAGTGCATTTAATGATCAAATGTGTATATTTAAACACAAATTAAGAATAATATAGTCACTATGCATAATTAATACCCACACTCTAAGTCAGTGGACCCACCCTAAACCCACCCACCCCGCATCCCTCACACATACACACATTACAAACACACAATTTAAGTCGTTAATCGGCCCACCGCCACCATCCCCGTCGTTGTGACCATCTCCTCCGCACTGCCGCTGTCATCTGCTGCCGACGCCCCGTATCCCAACGAACAGCAGCCGCCGTCACACACTCACACACACTGCACGGTGCACGCCGGCCAGCCATCCGCTCACGCCGCCGCTGATTTTTGCAATTTTACTATGTTGCAATTTTAGAAATAAATAATAATGCGTATTTCAATTAATATGATTGTGCAATTAATACATTATTTATATATTAAAATATATTTAGCATTTATAATTTTTATTTAATATTTTTATACTATTTCTTGTTGAAAATAATTAATATACATATAAGTTGGTCGTTTTTTTAATATTTTAATGTGCATTTGATCTGAAAATATTGTGCAGTCTGTCTTTCATTAATGTACATCTTGTTTGGCAATATTGAGTAATCTGACAATATCGTGCAGTCTGTCTTTCATTGGTGTGCATCTTGTTTGGCAATATTGTGTAATCTGATAGACACTAATGTGATATATTTAGTATTTTTATATTTTTTATTTAATATTTCTTTTTTTTTAAAAAAACAAAAATTATATATATGTATAAAAAATAGATATAAAAATAATATTTTTTTATATATTTTTAGAAACTACAAATTTGGCACAATGTACTCAATTGAAATATAACCAAAATTTCATAAATGACAATTAAGTCCTTCAGTCCTATCTAATTCTCAAAATAAAACCACACAACTTGAAGTTGGTGCAGCACTTCTCTCATGACGAGGAGCAGCGACGGATGTCGGGAACGAGACGCCTTCGGCGATGGGACAGTGGAACAAGGCAGCGGTGGTGGTCGTATGGCGGAATGGTGCAGCGACGGCGACGGAGGACGAATGTCAAGAACGAGACGACGAAGATAGTTGGACGTCTGCGACCTCCTAGGGCAGACGAACGAGACGACGGAAAGCCGTTGCTTGCAGCCGCCGGAGATGCAGACGCCTTTGCTTGTGGCCGCCGGAGACGCAGAAGCCGTCGCTCGCGGCGCCTGCTTGCGATGGTCCACGGTGATGTTGTACCTATGGAGCACATCGTCGTAGCTGGAGCACGTCGTCATAGCCAGCGCACGTGAATATGGTGGGGATGACGGTTTTCTGGCGTGACATCGGCGACATAGGACTTGACGGCGACATCGTACGAAAGTTGGACGGTTTCTATGTGTGTGTGTGTCGTGCGTAAGTGTGTGTAATTGTGAGAGAGAGAGAGAGAGAGAGAGACTGACGGGGAGAGAGAGTAATGAGACTGAGAGAGAGAGGTGGGGTGGGTAGGTGGGGTGGTTGGATGACTTGTGGGTGGGGTTAGGTGGCAGACATATTTAATGTGTAGTGGGGCCACTTGTTTGATTGTAGTGTAAAAATTATTGTAATGCCCTTAATGAAGGTATATTTTTGGTATTTTTATAAGCCGTTAGATCATGCAATCTACTGGCTACGATGTATTCTTATTTCTTTCACTAAGAACCATTCTCATCGAAGCGCGACCCTATATATATAGAAAGAGAGTTAGGATCATATAAGAATGGTAGATATTGAAGGAAATAAGAATGATTCTGAACCATTAAATACATCAAATCAATGTTCATGATGGAGTTAAAGGTAGGTTGTTGATGTAGAAAAATGTTAACAACAATAAAACGAACTGTACACTAAACCATGTATTCTGTTCAGTCTGCATGAATAGAGTTGCTCTGTAAATGGGAACCGAATAGATGATCTATTCATGATTTTCGAATATATATCATTTACGAGAGGATTATTCTCTTGCATTAAATGCTACCTCTCCTCCCTTTTATAGAAAGATTGAAGTCTGCTTTAATTCTCCTTTGGGATTTTTATTCACATTTTTCATTTAAGAGATATTCCTAGGATATTATGGCAAATCAACATTAAATGCCGTGAACTTTACTAATCTCAATCTCGAGACTGATGATGTTCCCAGCTCGCGAACGTATCCCGGAGGATTCTGCGCGGTCGGATGACGAACTCCCATATCTCATCACCATTAATGAGTATAGTACGGATAATATAAGGGAATGGTTGCCATCAATCGAATATCCTTTTGTGAACATGCGTCAAAACCTACTGTAGTTACTCGTATTCATTTCGCAGGTCCGGCTCGGTCTTCCCTTACTATCCTTAACGAATCCGAATATGAATAGACTTCATGATTTAGTCTGAATTTAAGTTGTTCGGTCAATACCCCGTACAGAGGCCCCCAAGTTCAGGCGATAGGATAGAGTTGATGTCTAATGCATTGTAAGAAACTGATTTTACAAACGAAATTGAAACAAACTGCTTTCCGTTCGAAGGGTATTAGGTTCGTACCGTGCGATAAAAAACCGATTGACTTTGTCCACGTACCGCTCACGAAAAGACGCGCCCCCCTTAATTACGGTGGTAAATTGTTACTCTTCATTATGACGTGTGGCATATTTAAAAGTTGAGGGCATTTGTCGGCCTATAATAGCAAATTGTTCACCCCAATTTTCTCACTTCTGCACAATAACTTCTCTGAAAAATTTCCTGCACTTAAGAGCACGAATAGCTCCCCTGTACGTACTCCCTCATTCTGAACCATGGTAAGATTATTTCTCCCTTTTCTCTCCTAGTCGAAATCTTTTCTTTCTAGTCGGATATGTCATCTTCTTCCGAGAGCTACAACGAAGAGCAGTATAAGGAGGCCTTGCAAGGCGACACAACCGGTCGAAAAAGACTTCCCCTCCCCAAGGAGGATGAAGATACAGACCTTCTCCTTGAACAGTCAATTGTGGATGTGCCGACTAGCTTTTGGCGTAGGCCCTATCGAGAGTGGTCGACTCAGAGTCTCTTCAGGCTTGGACAAGTCCCAAGCGATGTGACTGACAAAAAAATGGTAAAATTGCGGACCTCTATCCGTATGCCAAGAGAAATACACATGTTTGCTCCGTATCAGCGAGAACGAATCCACTGCCCGCCTCCCAGATATGTTGGGGTTTTTTTAACGGTCGGTTGTGTTCGAATTGCGCTTTCCTCTTTCGTGGATTTTGACCGAGTACCTCTGAGATTAGGGGCATGGTTTCAGCCGGGTGTCTCCAATTGCTTGGCTGAAAATAATAAGTCTACTCGTGCTTTTCAATGAACAAGGTTGGGAGCCGCCGACCTGTGATGACATCCGGGCGCTCTTTCTTTTCAAAGAGTCTTGAAAAATATTCGGACAATTCTCCATGACGATTCGGGACACGACGTTCAAGGAACTGATCACCAAAGTCCCTGAAACGATTAGCAAATACAAACGGTCGTGGTTCTGGGTCGGATGAGAATGGCAAACACGAAATCGGATGGAGACACCGGAGCATCCGATTTCCTAACCGTTCCAACTAGATTTGTTTCAAAACTTCGTGAGTCTATTCTTCTGTACCACTTTGATTATTTATTTTGATTCCCGTTATATTGTTCGTACTAACAGGTCGGCTTCATTATTTCAGCGGGGAGCAATGTGGTTCTGAAGCTAAGGGAATCGTTCGTAAACAAGCTTGTTGATTTGTTGGAGAAGGATCTCTCTGAGAGGGAAGGACCGTCTTTAGTCAAGGATTCGTATCTATTCGCCGTGGGTCTTTGTTCGCGTTACCTCGAATTGTCTTGTACTCCCAGTAAGTATATCCGGGTCTTTAGTCAAGGATTATTTGCTACTGTCATTCCTATTCTGTGTAGACCAACTGTAATCCTTTTCGCTCGTCTGTTTCCAGCCTTCTATCCATTGTTGAATTTAAAGGGTTTAAGTTCGGTCCCAGAGGGAAGAAGGAACGAACCAAAATCCACAAAGCGAAAGAAAACTGAATCTGCTCCAGGCAAGAACAAACAAAAACTTATGCCGATAATATGGACTGTCTAGCTCTGATTGCACAAATTAAAGCCCCTCTAAGAAAACGCCGAAAGAGCCGGTCATGGAACATGATATCCAAGTGTGGACTCATCTGCTGGGGATGACGTACAACCACTCCAGGACGTGCAAAAGGAGAGCTATAAACGGGCGAGTGAAACGGGCGAGGGTCAATCTCAGTTGTCGGATTCGTCGTGCGCCACGAATAGGAAACACATTTTGGAGACAAAGAAGCGTACGTCCACCAGGACGGTTCGGACACGTATTTGCGTGTCGAACCGTCGAGAGTTGCGAGGAATGGTCGGCTTAAAGAATTTCCAATGACTGGTTTTTTCGATTCAAGTCGGTGACGAATCCACAAATGCCGAATTTGAACTGTTGGCCGCCCCATGTCATTGATTCATCCATGGTGCCAATAATGAGTTGGGACCCTACGGCTAAGCAAATGACGCAGTGCCTCAGCCGGATCGAGAAAATAGAATACGCTGCTGGCGGCTTGGGTTGCTTTCTGTGCATCCATGTGGCCGCTATGGCCGAGTTCTGGAAGATGTCGAGGGATTTGGCCAAGCTGAATTCCGAACATGCCCGTTGCCAGGAACGAATCTATTCCTTATAGGATGAACTAAAAAGAGTCCACCAGTTGAAGTACCGAGTTGCTGAACTGGAGGGCGAGGTCAGGGTGGCTAAGGCGGAGGAAGCCAAATTGATGGCTCAAATTGAGGATGCTAGAAAAAGGTTGGACGTGGCTGAGCAGAAGCTATCCGTGGTAGGACAGTAGATGGTTGCGCCCGAACTGAAGAGCGACGCCGCTGCCGCCGAACAGAAAAGACTTGAGGGCAAACTGGCCGAGGCGATAAAATCCAAAGACTCATTTGAGGACAGTTACAAGAAAGGCCACGAGGCTGGGCTCGACGATTACAAGAAGACTGAGGAGTACGCTGCCAACATCGACTTGATTATCGTCCTCAGTCTGAACTGGATCATCCAGATTTTAGAGAGCAGCGGTAGAACCATGGATAACGTCAAAGGTATCCGGGATGTCAAAGTGTGAGTGGCTCGGTCTCTCGGATAGCATGAAGGCCATGACCCTGGTAGCGGATGATGATGAGCACACCTTTGATAGTTTGAAGACGCGTGGTGGTCCTTCTAAGTCGTCAACAAATACAGACGCGGCAGACTCGAATTCGTTTGCAAGTGTTAGGACCGAAGGTTTAGATGAAAATGAAGAAAATGCTGATGCCGACCGAAACGTTGCCGCTTGATTGTTTGCTTCTTTTCGATTACAAAGAGGATGAACTTTTTATTCGTACTTTTGTATGATTGGTTTGAGATTGAACTCAGTAGTTATCTTTCATTTCTAAGTATTGAAGATTCTGGGGCCGGTTTACGCCCTTACTAGGACTATGTATCCGAATTTTTACTACTATGTTTGCTTAACGGATGGGTGTTTTATGAATTTGTTGCCTAAGAGATGCAATATATTATGTGCACACTTATGATTTGGATCTTTCTCTCGTTGAGTCTTTTAGTTTCTAGCGAACAACTTGTTACTGTTCGGGATTTACCCTAGTCGGGTATTCTGGGCGAATAACTTATTGTTATTCGGTATGTACTCTTAAAGAGTATTATTCGTTTTTTGAATGAATTACGATTGTTCGTATTTTTACCCTTGTTCGGATTGATAATGCATTGAATAAGAAAGAAGACTAGANAGACCAGCCTGGGCAGGTAGCTCGACTACGCTGGACTGTGAGAGCTCTAATATGTTCGCGGATAAGTTATTCGGTCAAGTAGCTCATACACGGGCTTAAGGTGCTGACCGACCTAAAGAAATACGACCTGGGGGTGCCTATCTCAAAGAGCCCGGTAATACGGTCGACCTCGAGGAATCGAGGTTGTTTGGCTCAAGGATAGGGTATGACCTCAAGAAGAGGTTAGATTAGACCTCGAGACGAGATCTAGATTGACCTCGGATGGGCCGCAGCAGACACGTCAGGAGGTCAGAGTGACAACCTATGGACCTATGCGCTAAAAGAATCCTAGTAAGAAGGAAAGAATCGCTTGTTCAAGGACTTTTACCTCGATAAAGATGTAGTAAGTTAGGAAGTAGGATCTAGTTAGATCTCTTCCGTAACAAGGAATCTCTTGGGTACAAAGATACCTTCCCTATATAAGGGCGACATGTTCTTCTTCATCAAT